TAGCAAGTTATGACTGACCATCGACCACTGAACCGTTGATTTTCTCATGCAGTCCACGAGGGCGGATAAAAGCCGACGTGGTGCAGCAGCAACCAAGGTCCGTGACTGCCCTATTGCTGCTTGACTGTTTTCGACAACTGCTTCCAGTTGCTTGATATTAGATCTGATGCTCAAGAAGTTTGCATCTATGCCAATTTTGTTTAACAGGCAGTTTGTACGGTTGTGGACACTGAGTTCTGTACGTGAAATGGCAACGAACTCTAAGTTTCCAAACACTGCTGTATGAGAACCATTCGTCAAGTGACGCAAGTCAACTTCGTTGAGACACCCCGCACTCAGATATGGCGAGGATCACCAGAGTTCAAAAGGAGTGACGAGTTGGGTGGACGTACACTTCATGGACTCGATGCTGTTAACTTAAACCTGATGTCGCTGACTATCTGGAGGCGGCGATGAAGTCGGCTCAAAACCTGACTCGACATAGTCCAAATATGGAAGTGAATCATGGATCTTTTGTATTCGATCCTTGTCTTTGTAGAAGTGAGTCACGCTCTCCATATCTGCTGCCAGAAATCGTCGAGAACGGAGTACTATTCGTGGTACAAATGGAAGACATGGTCGGACTCGTAGACACCCCAAGTAACACTATGAAATTCCTGAAGTTGTCTACACAATTTTTTTGACTTTGCATTGGAACATGTAAGGTCACGTAACAGATGCCAAAGTATACAAGCCTAATAAAGCAGCAGTCCAATCCGTCTGACATCTAGATTTCAATTTGAGTGTGGTGCCTCGCATGAAAAGGATGTGGCATGAACTTCCACTTTCTTGACGGAATTAAACACACTGGGAAAATCTACTTTTACGGGCACATGTGGATGCTGGAAGTTACTGGCATGGACTGTGCAAATGATCAAAAAACAGAAGCAGTACCCGTGGCTAGCCATCACACAGCTGTCAACAATATAAAAAAGGCGACAGCGGATTGCCCAGGTAATTTAAATACCAAAACTGGTGAGAATAGTTCGTTTAACGCTACGAAGTGAATGGACTGTTCTACAACTCAAAGTATGCATAGATGAGAAAATGTTGAGCTGCTACTGCTACATGGATGGCTTCAGTTGTTTGTGATTATCTAACACCGCTCAATTCAGAATTCTTTCAATGTAGGTGACCCATCTATTCAAAGGGGGCGCGACTTCGTCAGAAGTCGTAAAAACCGACCAACTTTGCTTAGTAATCCAGAGAGCTTTGGCTGGCTCACTAACGCAACCTTAAAATAGCATGTAATATGTGAAGTGTTACTGCCAACCCGACAGATGCTAATGCAGTATAATTAGTAGGTTCTTCATTAGAAGGTGGCGATATCAGAGGTGGATGGAGCCAAGACCTACAGCGTGTCTGCTCTGGCCAAGATTTAATTAGTGCCAGAAATGGATTAGCTGTCATGCTAACAAGCCGCTGGATAAATTCCATTTTATTCACTACCTTTCTATTTATCGTTTTAGTTCCAGTACGTCAATCGTACGACGAAAGCCTTCTTATAGGATATTCCCGCTTTGATTCTTGCATCCTGATTTGTTCGCGCTCTCCCTCTCGTGCGCTTGCTACGGTCCTAGCTACGATATTAACTGCGATAATTGCGATCAAAACAAAGTGCGCCGCATTCGAAATAACTCGAGTCTTAGAGAAATATTTACACTGTGGACGTTGGCGAACACGCCTTGCGGCCAACTAGTTGGACGGGTAGCTCAGCACAGAAAGAGGAGGACGACTATCCTTTCTAGGTATCGAAAACCGAACTTTCACTGGAAAAAAACAGAAAGCAATAATCATAACTATAGTGCCTAAGCTGACAGGAACGGTATGCTTACCCCGCCTGTATTGTTCATATTGTCTGGATCTATTAGCATCCTCAACATATAGCCCAGAAGAAAGGCGTCACTGAGCTCTACAAGGACTTAAGCATCGCAAAATAATAAATACCTGGATCAGAGTCATTAAGCAATTGTGTGATCATCAGATTGATGAGAATTCGATTGTCATCGGACAGATGATTGTTATCTTTGTATACATACTCCCGGACGACGGATGGCTGATTTTCAACAAACGCATGCAATATCTCGAGTGCTGCTGCCTTTACATCCCGATCATCGAACATCAACAAGACTTCAACGGTAGACAAGGCACCGTGTGAAAAGAGACAATTAAGGAAGTTGTCCTTTTGGTCCGTCTGCACGGACAAGTTGCAGAACTCTTTCACGAAAAGGGCCAACTCTCGGCGGTAAGCGTCGGACGTTGAAGGAGACTTCAGGCGATTGAAAAGCTGTAGCATAAATTCCTCGTCATCTTGAAGGGCGCTAATAATTTCGATTTTATTCATTGTAATGAAGGATTTTAGGACGTGCATAGTCTGGTCGTCAAAAAGACAGGGTGGGGGCAGACAACAGTCTTGTATATACTGAACACGATAAGTTTGGTGTATTTTATTGACTAGTTCGGGGTTGTGCAATGGCAGGACTTCCTTGAATTTTGCTTGGTTTTTTAAAAACTCGCGATGACGAGTACGGCCGGAAGGACTGTATTCGAGAATTCCAATTACTTCCATAATCAATTCGTCTGAAAATAAAATCTCATAAAGGTTTTGCTTGTTATAGAGAATTAACTGCCGAAATATCTCATAAAGGTGATGGAGTGATTCGAGGTCTTCC